TGTAATTGTTTAGATTTTTAGAAGAATGTAATTTTAGCAATCAAGCTAAATAAATCTTAAACAAACAAACAACAAATCTCCCGTTCAATATTGGCTCTGACGACGCCGGCTTGTCTAGAGGTGTTAAATCACACGATCTAGGCGGCCATTCGACAGAACCATTTCTCGATATAACACGTTCACCGAATTTTGATTTCAATACGTCGATTATTTCACCCGCTGCGAGGCTTGTGGCACCGTCTTGTTGAAACCACATATCATTAATGTCTAATTGACCAAAAAAATAACGTTGCAACGTCTCTGTAGCGATCTCCGTTGACTGTTACGTGAGGGTCATTTTCATCCACAAAAAAAACGGCCCAGTGACACCACCGGCATAAAAACTACACCATACAGTTATTTTTTGTGGACGAAGTGGTGCTTCTTGAAGCACATAAGGGTTTTCACCTGATCAATAACGCATATTCTGTTTGTTGATGAAGCCATTTAGCTAAAAGTGCGCCTCATCACTGAAGGTGATTTTGCGATGAAATTGGTCATTTTCGTGCAACATTTCTAGAACCCAATCAGAGAATGTACACAGGTTCATATCATGATCGAACAGCTTGTTCTTGAGTTAACTTGATCTTATAAGGGTGCAGGCCAAGATCTCTTTGCAAAATTCGCCATAGTGTTGTCTGAGCGATGCCCAATTCTTGAGAACGCCGTGTTCTGTCCGTTGCGACGCAAGCTTGAACGACAGCACTATTCTCGGCTCTTCGACCAACCCGTTGTCTCACTGGCACGGGGAAATCCAGCAGCGAATATGTGGACTCAATTTTTTTTTACTAGACTATGAATTGCTTGTCTACTGGTACGAGAATTACGACCAAAAATTGGCGTTAAGGCTCCTAAAGTTGCAGTCACCGACTCGAAATTTCGGTAGTAAATATTGGTAAGCATTGTTCGCTCGTGTACTTCACCATGATGAACATGTTTATGTTTTGACATTGACAGCTCGGTAATTGTTTGTCAAGTCCCTATTGGAAAACCCGATATTATATTGTTTGGTTGTCCGACGGATTGTAAATTGATAATATCTCATTTTCGTCTAACCCATTGATTCCCAAAGTGGTCTATATCGACCCCTAGGTGTCTACGTCAGCGAAAAAAAATTTGGGGGTCCATGAAATGAATATGGGGGTCCACGATAGTGGATCTCAACACATACACGGATAGTACCTATTTACTTACATCATACTATCAAAACATATACATTATTTATAAAAGTACCTATGAAGTGGTCGCAATACATTTTGAACTTGTAAAAACCTGAGAGTCGCAGTCTCAGAGCTTCGCTACCTTGCACTGACTTGTTCAATTCGTCACTCTATAAATACGAATGTGGGACAAATACGTTTATTCGTTTCCTGAATCTTGAAAAGGAAAGTGCTAAAAAAATATTTTAAAAAATATAAACAGATAGTATATCACACAAATTATAGTGAGTCAGTGTTATTTTGTTTGAGAGTGCTGGGGAAAAGTAAGTACATTATTTTTTATTAAATTTTAGTTTTGTACTCGTAGTTAGCAAAGATAGATAAATTACGCTAATCATGACTTTAGTTATTAGTAGTTAAATATTTAATCATGCAAAATTACACGAGTACTCCTCAATAGTTTCTTTTTGAAAGTTTTAGCAATCGGTAATATAATTACAGTGCAATCTCCGTAAAACGAGCTAATTGTTGCAAGAAGATGTTCGAATTATGGAATGTTTTCGGAAAAATCAAAAAATATTTTTAATATACAGCTGCTGGATTTTCTGTCTTATTTAAATAATTTAATTTTGCCCACAGATGACTGATGCCATGTCCGAATCTAAAAAGAAATGTAGACAGTACAGTGTTGATTATTTGAAATTTGGCTTCATTCCATCATTGCCGGACAAACAATCGCCTATGTGCCTTTTATACAACAAAGTTTTGGGCAATGACGCTATGAAACCGTCTAAACTGCAAGATCATCTGAGAAGATGCCACCCTGATAAAACAGAGAAAGATTTGAAATACTTTCAAACACTCAAAGATAAATTTCAGAAGAGACCTACACTGGAGAGAATGTTCGCTTCGACGTCACAAAGAAATGATGATGGTTTGCGGGCGTCTTACAATATCTCGTTACTTATAGCAAAATCCGGAAAACCGCATACTATCGGAGAGAAGTTAATTTTGCCAGCCGTTGAAGAGGTTTTAAAAACTGTTTTACACAAACCTGCATCTGACATCATTAAAAGAATTCCATTAAGCAACAATACTGTTGAAAGACGTATTGATGAAATGAGTTCTGATATTGAAAGCTTCTTATGCAATTATTTGCAAACGACCCATTTCTCTATACAACTGGACGAGTCAACTTTACCTGATAATGCCAAATTATTGGCATATGTTCGTTTTATTATGAATCAAGAAATCTACGAACTGCTCTTCGCAAGAACTTTGATAACCGACACTAAAGGTGAATCAATATTTCATGTTTTGAAGGATTACTTCATTGAAAAAGCAATTCCTTTGTCAAATATAATATCAGTAGCTACAGATGGAGCACCTGCCATGGTTGGACGTTATCGTGGATTTATAAGCTATTTAAAACAAAATGTGTCAGGGGTGTTAGCAATACATTGCGTTATCCATCGACAACATTGAGTTGCTAAAAATTTTAGTGTTAGATTGCATGAATCACTTCATTTAGTCATTGATGCAGTAAACCGAATCCGAAGCAACGCTTTGAATACGCGGTTATTTGCGCAGTTGTGTGAAGAAAATGACGAACACTTTCATCAATTACTCCTTCACACTGAAGTACGCTAGCTGTCGAAAGGCTTATGTTTGACAAGATTTTTTGCACTTTTTGAGACTATTTTAGAATTTCTGGATACTAAAGATAAAATTTTAAAAGAAAATTTAATGAAGAGGAAAACAGACATCGCCTATTTAACAGATTTGTTTACAAAATTTAATATGGTTAATTTGCAATTACAAGGCGACAGTTTAAATTTGATTAAAACAAAATCCATCTTATCAGCGTTTCTTGCAAGAGTTAAACTAATGAAGCAAAATATTGGACGGGGCGAATTTTCTCAGTTCCCCAATTTGTCACAGACAAGCTGCCAGGAAGACGACGTTTCAACTTACGTTCAACATTTAAATGCCCTCTATTCAGATTTTGAATCTAGGTTTGAGGATATTTTGACTATGGTAATACCACCGTGGATAATTAATCCATATGGTGACATAGAAGAAACGAATATCATAATACAAGAGGAACTGACTGAACTAATTACAAACGAAGAACTTAAGGTTCAGTTTAAAAAGGGATATCAGCAATTCTGGCTGCAAAACAACATACCCGTAACTTATCCCGTATTATGGAATATAGCGAGGAAATTTTTAATTTCCTTTCCATCGTCATACCTAGTGGAAAGGGGGTTCAGCGCTGTTACCAATCTCCTAACGAAAAAAAGAAACAGACTGGTCATCATTAGCCGAGGAGATTTAAGATTAACCCTTACAAAACTGACGCCAAATGTTGATAATTCATTATTAAAGCATCAGGTTCATCCTTCTCACTAAAAATATTGACTTATTGCTTTTATGTTATTTTATTTATAGTTTATTTTATATTTATTGGTGTCTGACCAATAAATGCCCGCATTGGGAATAAGTGTTCGCATTGATTTTTTTAAAGAACCCCCTTTATAGAAAATATATTTTTTTTTTAATTATTCTGAAAATTCAAGGATAGGTACACACTAAAATTCGTTAATTTTTTGCCTATTTTTAGATAACTTAAACGTATAAGAAGCGGAATTTAATCAAACTAACAGTGAAATTATTGTAGAACATACGTTTATGTTATAATTAATAAACGAACTCGCTTATTGTACTATTTTAAGTAAAAAACTTTTTTTTTATTATTTTTCACTTTTTTTTATTTTATCCCTCTTATTTTTTTTTTTTTCAATGCGTGCACTTATTCCCAATGCGGGCACTTATTGGTCAGACACCTGTTTATTTAATGTTACGTATATTTTACATAACAGATACAAAATTTTATTTTGATTAGTTTTAATTTAAATTCAATTAATAAATGTATAAATTAACATGTTTTTATTTTAAGTTTTTAACACTAAACTTCACTACAGTTAGAAATTTACAGGAAATCAATATCAGGTAAGTAGGGGGTCTACCCAACACGGAAAAACATGGCAAGGGGTCTACAGCACAAAAAAGTTTGGGGAACTCTAGTCTAACCTTTCCAAGGCCAGGGAATGGATCTATTGTGGATTACTAATTAACAAAGTTTGAAGCAATGTAATCAGCATTGATTCCTTAATTAGACAATAGTGCCCTTCTCATATAGCTTTCAGTATTGTGACTTACTTCTCAAATATCAGTCTTGCAAACCATTCGCTAAGATTGTCTTCATAACACCCTACTACAAGCTGTTAGGGTGCCCTTTGTGGACGTTTAAGAAATTTGGAGATGATTAGATAGGTTTAGAAAAATGTATCGAACAAACTGCAATTGGAAAAGATGACACTCTGAAAAATATGTTTATATCTAATAATAATTTCATTAAGCATCTCATTTCGCAGTGGCGGATTAAGGAGGGGGGTGATCGTGATGAAAATGTTCCCTTTACTGAATGTTTTGACATTGACAGTTTGGTAATTGATCTAAAGGTGCGTTCACAGTGGAAGTTCAAAGTTGGCAAGTCCCTATTGGAAATCCCGATATTTACAATTCAAGTGCATCTCTCTCCTAGATTAGTTTCTCCAAGGTCCAAACTTAAGGGAGTCCAACACTAAAAATTTCTGTTCCAGAAACCACGATGCGCTCTTACCGTGTCATGAGAGGTGGAATTTACGGGATAAGTCACTTGCAAATTAAGTAAGTCTGGGAGCTGACTGTTTCACAATAATTAGGCTCCATGGTTGCTCACGCATTAAAAGAAAAAAGTAACAATATTAGTAGGTTCAAATATATTTTCGCTTAACGCAATTACAAAAAAGTAGTATTTTTCAAATTAAAGATAAAGCCCTTCAGGTGTTCCCTCTTTCTTGCGATATAGTACGTTCTCCTTCGATTTCCTGAAATCTTCATTCATTACTTTCATTCTTCGTTCTCGTAAAGCCATCAAACCAGCTTCTGTACAAATTGCCTGAAAACAAATGGAATGTCACCAAGGTTGAAGAAAAAACATAGGACAGTTTGATCCCTATGCTCCGCCCCTGACCCATTTGCAGATGATTGTCTGACGATTGTTGTTGTCAGTAAAACAAGTGTCTTGGTTGGCTATGTTTACAAAATATTAAGTTTATGTTATGTCAAACTGATTTAGAAAAAAGATTCTACCGAAACAGCAATTCAAATGGTGCTGGAAGACTGGAGACAAAGTATAGATGAGAAAGAATGTCCTATAACAGTATTTTTAGACTTCAAAAGGCCATTTGAGACTATAGAGAGGCGAAATTGTTAATGAAATTAGATCACTATGATTTTAAAGGATCAGTATTAAACGTTATTAAATTATTTAGTCAATAGGAGTCAAGAACCTAAAATTGGAAATATGTCAAATCATTTAAAATATATCATCAGGAGTGCCAGAGGGGAGTAAATTAGGGCCGTTACTATTCATTATACAGGGTGTTCCTTAATGATATGCGAATATTTAAGGGTGTGAATCTAAATGAAAAGTTAATGTTACTTTGCTTTATAAACTATGGTCCAAAAATGTTTCCTTACAAAAACTCGGGGTGTTGAAGTTTTAGGAAAAAGATGGAAATTAATATTTTCAGAACCGCTTCAGATATTTCGCTGATATTTGGTACATAGTGAAAATAAAGTTGCATATTTTTCAATGCAAAAATAATTTTTAGCTTTAACAGTGGCGGGTCAATACCCGTACGCACGATATTTTTTAAGAAAAAAATGGTAGGCCAATGTTTTTTTGGCAAATAAAAATCATTTTTGAATTCCTCGTTCAATCTAAAACAAATGATATCTCTTGACTTGTTTTCCTTCTATGCGCCACTTTTTAGTAAAAAAATAAAAACCGTTCTATTGTCTAACTTGCAAAATCATTGATTTAATTGGAAAAATTAAACACATTTGGGGTAATGAACAACAACAACCGACAACATAAACATAACATTAAAACCAACGAAATGATTACAAAAATTGTTGAAAATTGCCCCCTTCACTTAGTATGCAAGCTTCCGCCCTCCTTCTTATGGAATTGCGCACTCGTTGAAATATCCCAGAAGGTTTTTTATTCTATCATAAGCTGCATCTATTCTTTCTCTTAATCCCTCTACAGTATTAATGGGACTTGTGTACACTAGTGTCTTAAGATAGCTCCACAAAAAGAAATCTAAACTGTTGAGGTCTGGGGACCTTGGTGGCCATTCTTGGGACCCACCGCGACCAATCCAACGATTCGGATAAACAGTTTGTAAATAATTACGAACCGCTACACAGAAATGCGCTGGTGCACCATCATGCATGTACCACATATTGTTTCTTATTAAGAACGCAACATCATCAAGCAGCAAAGGCAACTGTTGTTGAAGAAAATTGAGGTAAGTCTGTCCGTCAAGTCGTCCCGGCAAGAAGAATGGGCCAATAAAGTGGTTGCCAATAATTCCTGCTCATACGTTAACCGAAAATTGGTGTTGGAAATGGGTTTCGGTTACGGCATAGGGATTTTCGTCTGCCCACAAATGAATATTGTGGAAATTCTGAATGGCATTTCGAGAAAAATTAGCTTCGTCCGTGAACAGAATCATTGATTCAAATTACCGATTTTGTGTAATTTTTTAAAGATACCACTGACAAAAGGTCACACGCCTTGGAAAATCAATGAGAAGTAATGCCAGTACTCTTAAATATGGTAAGGATATAACAAAAAATCCACAAAATTATCCAAACAATGGCAAATATTTAAGTGTCTAGCGATCTTCCTCGTACTCGTTTCAGGATGTTCTTCGACTTCGTGCAGCACTGCTTCCTCAATTTCAGGTGTTCTCACACTTAGAGGTCTACCTTCAGATGTTCCTTTTCGGACAGAACCAGTTTCAACAAGACGACGATGAATATTAGAAAAGGTTCGACTATCTGGTAAAGCACGATCGGGATATGGCAAAGCACGATCGGGATATCTCTAGTGATAAATCCGTCTGGCTTGCTCACCATTACCGTCGCCAAGGCCATATACGTAATGCATTTCCGCCATTTCTGCATTTGAATAATTCACCATTATTAACATTGTAAAAACTCAATAATGAAAAAGATGTCACAGCTAACAGATTTGAATAACAGAGACTTGAAAGATGTCAAAAGCCAGTGACATATTCCAGAGCAACTAGATATTTATTTCTAAATTGCATTTTTCAATTATCACATTAATTTTCTCGGATAATAGAATGGTTTTTATTTTTTTTACTCAAAAATGTAGCATCGAAGGAAAACAATTCAAGAGAGATCATTTGTTTTAAATTGAACGGGGAATTAAAAAATAATGTTTACCTTAAATATTCGCATATCATTAAGGAAAACCCTGTATATACAAATGATATCTCTGACATTCTAGAACACTGCAAAATTCAAATATTTGCGGACGATATATTGATATAATATAAAAAAATGTGAATTGGTTAAATGTTAATAAACTCCAAAGGCCAAACAAAATGTTTGTCAATGGGGAAACCTTTAGGTAACAATACGATTAGGCTCATAATGATAAAAAAATGAAATAGTCGAATCATTCAAATATTTGGGTATGTGGATAGCAAACTAGTGTTTCTAGATCATTATAATACATTATTTCAAAAATACCAAAAGGCAAATTACTTCTATAGAGATTCTCATAATCCTGGTCTGTATTCCAAAAAAATGTGTATAACACTATAATTCTTCCTATTTTTTTATATTGATGAACCATTTTGTTTACAGCAAATGAAAACATAATTTTCAAAATTACAAATAATAAATAACAAATATGCCCAGATTAAGCCTACGTTAGAACTACAGTGGTTGAGCATGAAAAATGTATATGTTATTTAGTTTCCATTTTCATATTCAAATGAAAAAATCATTTATTACCGCCACATTTAGAAAACTTCGCAAAATTAAAGTCATCAAAACTACGAAACTAGAGGCAGTGTACATTTTCATCTACAAAATTGTAATAGTAGCATAACTAGCAAATTGGCATTTCAAAAGGGAGTATTTGTATTTAATGAAGTGGATAATATTAATCAGTCTTTGAATTCAAAAATGTTAAGGTGAAATTAAAAAATTACTTTATGAATACCCAAAATAATAGACGAGAATATAATTACAGAAAATTTGCTCAAAAATCAATCAATCATACAAAATTGACATTGTAGCATTAATGCTAGAACAATCTTCCTCATTAGACGGTTACAGCTTTTAGCAGTGTTTTCTTATGTACATGTCATATAAAACATATCTTATTTCAGAAATTTTTCGCCATTTTGGTACTTCCTCGCCCAGTGGCGAAGGAAGTGGTCTGCATAAACGCCATAAAAAATATTTTCAGATACTAGAGGAATGCCATAATTGTCGACCTTCTTGATCAGGGATTTCTATAGATCAAAATCATTTTATTATTAGCTTTAATGATATTAAGTGTTCGAATTCAAAAATGTTTAAGGTGAAATTAAAAAATCACTTTATGAATACCCAAGATGGATAGCAATTTTACACAAGAATGTAAAAATAAAGAAAATTGATTCAAAAAACATGTAAGAATAATTATACCTATTTGACATTGTAGCATTAATGCCAGATAAATCGTCAACAAATACATAAAAATAGCTTTTACCTTGATATCAGCACCGGAAAGATCATCCTTGGCCATGATGAGTTCCTGTAGATTCACATCTTCCGCCAAGGTCATGCGCGACGTGTGAATGTTGAAGATGCGCTTTTTCGTTTTCTCGTCTGGCAGAGGAAATTCTATCTTTCTATCTATACGTCCAGGGCGAATCAACGCGGGGTCTAAGGTTTCTATGCGATTAGTTGCCATTATCACCTGAAATGGTAAGGTTTTCGAATTTTATTTTACCGGACATCGCAACAACAATCTGGAATAGTTTATTTTGGAAATCTGCTTCACGGAGATTCAATGAGGTTTATTATTTTTTCGAAATCACACAGTGCCAGCGATTGCCAGAATCGACAACTTTGTGCTGTCTTATTACTCTGAATAATTTCTCAGCTTTCGTTCGTTGTCCATCGAGGCCAAGCCTACACCATGCTGCACGGTTGACAAATAGCACGAATCAGCTGCCCACGGTTGACGGTCTGTGGTCGGGCGAACGAAAGCTATGTTACTAACAAAGAGTAGTTATACGAGAATAAACAAAAAGCAAATAAAATTATCTTTTGAGATGCCTGGTATCTCAGCTCTCTCGCGCCAATACGAGATCGTGGATTTTTGTACGCTATCCTCCGTAGTAGCCGTTTTCGGGACACCTGGTCGTGGCTCATAAAAAACCGTCGTGCGACCATGTTGAAACTCGTTAAACCATTTTTCGACGGTCGCCGCGATTTGTCTTCCAAAAACAAGAATCGACACACACCGACCGATATTGCTTTTTCGATTTTTCTGAAATCAGCGAACACGCCCGCTTCCACTGGCGGCCAAAACAAAACTACGAGTCCGATTCTGCTGAAATTTTTACAGTAGCCGTCTACGAGAATTTAAATAAACATACTTTTATTTTATACATTTTATACGATTTACGTACCATAGTCAAAAAATGCAAAATTCCGATTTTCGCCGATCACACTATGATTTATATAAGTACTAAAAATATTCAGACTGGTATCTCTTATATAAATGAAGACTTGAAACTTATTTCAAAATGGTTAGCATCTAACAGACACAAATTAAATATGTACAAGTAAAACGAAAGCTATGTTAATCGAAAAAAAACCAATGTATAAATGTTCAACTAAATATTGATTGATGGTGAAGGGATTGAATTCATAGAAAATTTTAAATATCTTGGGGTTTTTGTTGACTCTCGTTGATGTTCATTATGAAAGATTTATAAATAAGACTAGTAGTAAAGTGGGATATTTATCAAGAGTTCATACAGTAGAAAAATTATCTATATTATTCTATATTAAGCAAATAATTCCATTTTTGAAAGACTGTAAATTTTACAAAACAAGTGCACGAGAATAATACCGAATAAAGAAAAATATACTCCAATTAGACAAATGCTTTTTAAATTAAAATGGCTCAATGTAAAAAAATTTATCAAATATCTTGTAAAAATATTCATTTATCAAGTAAAAATAATATATTTCCACCAAGTCTAACTAATTTAACATCATCAAATGCCGACCATCATTTACGTAATATCAGAAATAAAGATCACCTCCACCTAATGACGAAAAAGTATAACATACAGGGTGTCCCAGAAGTCGACGTCAAGCCGAAACCGGGTGATAGGCAAAGTCATAACAGCTATCAGAAAAATATTTAAAAAAATTTTATGTGTCTTTTGAAAATTATAGGTCTTTGAAAAAGATATAGAAATTTCACACCCTACGGCAGTCTGTCAACTCCTGTTACTACAGATATTAATTTTTTTTGGATTCTATTTTTACAATGTAATGATGAATAATGCATCTTCAAACTGGTGACTCAACCTTACTGCCAACTTTTCTCGTTCAGGAAAAATTGCCACTTATTTCCCAACCAAGTATTCCAAAGTAAAACTTTGCTCAACTTTAACTGACTGTACTGGAAAAAATGTACTACGAGAGTTTGGCAAGTAACCTTAAAAGTTGGCGCATTTGATAACGATTCCAAAATGGTATAACACTTAGAAGATTACTCGTTAACTTATGCACAATTTTTATTTGAAAAAAAAACTGATGAAAATTTTTCAAAATTTCCTAATTAAACAGCGATTATGAAAACGCACAAGGACCCTTAAGGATAACTGTTTGTACAACAGTGGGCGTCAAAATGCTGCTGATGATGATTTACAGCAAATGCTCAAACTGTTTTCCTTCAGCCGCAATACACGCTCGACATCTTAAAAAAGATCGGGTTATTAAACGAGCGAATCCACGGTTATTAACAAACTCAGCTGCTTCCAATAGTCTTTGCCGTAGCTCAGCTACATTTTGAAACGGCTTGAAATACACTTTTTCTTTTACAGTTCCCCAGTAAAAAAATCTAAAGGATTCAAATCAGGTGATCGGGCTGGCCACGGTATTGTACCAGACCGCCTTATCCATCTGCCTGGAATGTTTTGATCGAGATACTCTCTCACTGAGAGTGCATAGTGCGCTGGGCAGCCACCATGCTGAAACCACATGTCCCTGTAAATATTCAGTGGCACGTCCTCCAATAAATTTTCTAAATGATTTTGCAAAAAACCTAAATGAACCTCAGCAGTCAAAGTCAACTCAAACGGTCCGATTATTTTACCATTTAAAATTCCTGTCCAATGGTTTATCTTGAAGCGATATTGAGATTTTTCTTCTCTCATCAAATGTGGGTTTGCTACGTGCCACTCGTGTAAATTATGCAGGTTCATGTACCCATCTTTCTTAAATGTGGTCTCATCTGACCATAAAATTTTTTCAAAGAACCGTGGATCTTCCCTGTGTCTTTCTAACATTGTGCGACAAAAAGCAACTCGGGGCTCATAATCCCGGGGCAAAAGAGCTTGAACACGCTGTACGTGGTATGCATGGAGCACGTTTTTTTGCAAGATTCTATGAGCTGTACTTTTGGGCACACCTGTTTTTAGTTCTGTTGCACGCACTGAAGTACTCGGGTCTTCTTCGACAGCTCCTAGCACCACGTCTTCGTAAGGAAGGAAAGATCTTCCCTCACCGTGTGATTGGTTTGGTAGTTGGCCCTCTGAGAACAGTAAGCGGTGCACATTTGTGAACACTCGATGATCTGGATGACGAGCTGCATTCGGGTACCTCTCACAGTAAAGTCCCGCTGCAGCACTAGCGTTGCATCTGCATTCCCCATAAATGAGGTGCATGTTAGCATATTCTTGTACGGTGTACACGGACATAGCGGCACTGTACAATCACACTATCAAAGATAGTCTAAGGAAAGCAAATGTTGTTTTGAAGAGCAATTAAACAGTCCAAATCCAAATCACAAGCGATCAACAGTCCAGTTCACGAATCCAAAATTAGTAAAAGTACGAAATCAACAAGCACGAACATGTAAAGATGCGCAGTAAACGAAGGAGTACTGATCGGTATCAGAGTGTGCAATAGCAAGTAAGTGATGTGCTTCATCCATACCACATACAGCGTGTTCAACCTCTCCTGCCTCGGGATTATGAGCCCCGAGTTGCTTTTTGTCGCACAATGTTAGAAAGACACAGGAAAGATCCACAGTTCTTTGAAAAAATGTTATGGTCGGATGAGACCACATTTAAGAAAGATGGGTACATGAACCTGCATAACTTACAGGAGTGGCACGTAGCAAACGCACATTTGATGAGAGAAGATAAATCTCAATATCGCTTCAAGATAAACCATTGGTCAGGAATTTTAAATGGTAAAATAATCGGTCCGTTTGAGTTCCCAGAGACCTTGACTGCTGAGGATTATTTAGGTTTTTTGCAAAATCATTTAGAAAATTTATTGGAGGACGTGCCACTGAGTATTTACAGAGACATGTGGTTTCAGCATGATGGCTGCCCAGCGCACTATGCACTCTCAGTGAGAGAGTAGCTCGATCAAAACTTTCGAGGCAGATGGATAGGGCGGTCTGGTACAATACCGTGGCCAGCCCGGTCACCAGATTTGAATCCGTTAGATTTTTTTTACTGGGGAACTGTAAAAAAAAAGTGTATGTCAAGCCGATTAAAAATGTAGCTGAGCTACGGCAAAGACTATTGGAAGCAGCTGAGTTTGTTAATAACCGTGGATTCGCTCGTTTAATAACCCGATCTTTTTTAAGAAGATGTCGATCGTGTATTGCGGCTGAAGGAAAACAGTTTAAGCATTTGCTGTAAATCATCAGCAGCAGCATTTTGACGCCCAGTGTTGTGCAAACAGTTATCCTTAAGGGTCCTTGGGCGTTTTCATAATCGCTGTTTAATTAGGAAATTTTGAAAAATTTTCATCAGTTTTTCTTCAAATAAAAATTGCGCGTAAGTTAACGAGTAATCTTCTAAGTGTTATACCATTTTGGAATCCTTATTAAATGCGCCAACTTTTAAGGTTACTTGCCAAACTCTCGTAGTACATTTTTTTCCAGTACAGCCAGTTAAAGTTGAGCAAAGTTTTACTTTGGAATACTTGGTTGGGAAATAAGTGGCAATTTTGCCTGAACAAGAAATGTTGGCAGTAAGGTTGAGACACCAGTTTGAAGATGCATTATTCATCATTACATTGTAAAAATAAAATCCAAAAAAAGTTAATATTTGTAGTAACAGGAGTTGACAGACTGCTGTAGGGTGTGAAATTTCTATATTTTGTTCAAATACCTATAATTTTCAAAACACATACATAAAATTTTTTTAAATATTTTTCTGATAGCTGTTATGACTTTGCCTATCACCCGGTTTCGGCTCGACGTCGACTTCTGGGACACCCTGTATATGCTACAAATCTTAATTCCATCAAGGGTGATTGAATATAATAAATTATACAGGGATGAAAGACCAGAAAAATTTGAAAAAATTCAAATTAAAATTGAGGAATCACTTGTTACATCTACAGTTATAGCTTGCCCAGCATTCACATCATACGGCTTAAATTTACGAATTCTAAGTTGTTTACAATTAATCTGTTTATGCAGCCAAACGCGCTAAATACATTAATCTTTCTACTACTACTACTAGAAAATTTCGGACCGCCCTAGTATGTTATATGTGTTAGAATGATTTCCATACACAATGATATTTTCCTTTCGTGACATATCAATTTTATTTACAATTTATAATTATATGTATACGAACCTTAACATCTCCTCTGGAATCGAAGCCATCCAGTTGATTAAGCAACTCCAACATCGTTCTCTGGATCTCACGCTCACCGCCTGAGTTGGAGTCGTAACGTTTCGTACCTACCGCGTCAATCTCGTCGATGAACACAATTGAAGGCGCATGCTCTTCGGCTACTCGGAACAATTCTCGGACTAATTTCGGACCATCACCCTTGCAAAAGAAATAAATGTCAATTCTAGTTTATTCAGAAAAAAATCGGAAGAACCTCATTTTCACCGATTTTCTCCAATTTTTGACAATTTAAACGTAGAATATTATACGGTAGCAAATTTAAAATCTCGACGTGTATTTTTGTCCTTCTTCCATGCTCCACGGTCAGAATTTTAATTTGTTTCCCGGAAAATTGGAAAATAGGAAAAACTGCAAAATCGATGAAAAGGCGGTTTATTTCTATTCTTGGCAATTTTCCGGACAAGAAATAAAAATTTTGGAACGAAGTAGGAAAGCACGTATACAATGGGATACTGTGTTAACCAAGTATTCCTTCACTGACATTCAGCAAAACTAATGATATCCTACGTTTAACTGTTAGAAATTGGAGAAAAATGCGTGCGGTTCTTTCGATTTTTAGTTTGGATTTATTGTGGATTTTTAAGTTAATTTCCAGAAAATTCACAGATATACTAAAAAGAATTTCAAAAAAATATTTTTTCCTGTTCCACAAATCAATAAAAAATTACAATTATGCAGGAAATAAGAATGTAGAATGGGCGATTTTTTCAAAGCTTTAGCACAGAGAAGGCTGCGGGGGACCTCATGAAATTTAAAATAATAAAATATACAAATCTTCAATCTATCAATTCATCATCTACTTAGGGATTGCCAATATATATTATGCAAGGAGACACCTCTCAAACTACAAAATGCATTCATTAATTACACAATGTAATATTTGATCATAAGTTTAGTTATATAATAGGGATAAATACATGGGTTATTTTACTCTCACTATGAATAACTAAACTTTTACCCAGTTATTAAAAATGTAGCTAAATCATACTTTTAAATTTTAATTACTAATAGTATGCTTAATGCCTATTTGAGACACAAAGAAGTTAGCGGGTTAGTATCTTGAAACTAGAAAAAGAATCTTACCAAATATTTCTGAATCAACTCAGAACCAACAACTCTAAGGAAAGTTGCAGATGTTTGATTGGCTACAGCCTTTGCCAGTAGGGTTTTTCCTGTTCCTGGAGGTCCATATAGAATGACTCCCTTAGGTGGTTTGATACCCATCTCCTCATAATATTCTGGATGTGTTAGGGGCAGTTCCACTGACTCCTTGATTTCTTGAATCTGAAAGCAATAACAAATGCTGTTTTTTGACTACATAATCGAATTGTTAACCCTTAAATTGAAAGGGGAGCAAAATGTGTCCAACATATTTTGCATCATTACCTGTGTATCCAAACCTCCAATATCAGCATAAGTTTCCTGTGGTGCTTTTTCTAATTTCATGACAGTAACCATGGGATCTGTATCATCTCCTAATACTCCAACAACTGCATGAACCTGAGAAAACATAAATTCATCTTATTCAAAATTAAAAGTTATGCAGGGTGGTCTGTAATGAGAAATTTTTTCAAAACTGTTTAGTCGATAACTACAACTGTTTTCATGATATTTAACGAAAATTTGGGAGAATGGATTTGCAATAATGAGAAACATAATTATAATGAAAAAAATTATTTGTACCCCATTGCAACAGGCTCATGTGTCACAAATATTTAGACATTTTATTAGCTAGATGAATTTGGACTTTCTGATAATCAATTCTAACAATAACAATTACCTTGTGGTTGAGAAGAACAGAACATCCAGGTTCCAGTTGATCTTTATCCACAAATGACAGAATGCTGACATAATGCTCACTACCCACAGAAGTAGACACAATAGCATGATTATCATCAATGATTTCTTCTAAAGTACCAACTGACATTGGTGTTCCACGAAGATCATCTACTTTTGAGCGTTCTTCTTCATTCTTCTCTTCCTGTGGCTTCAACCTGTCAAAATGAAAATTGTAAAGAACTTCATCATAACCACCTATACCTAATTTGTAGGTGGGTATGACTTTATACATAGTTTAACCAAAGAGTAGTTATGATGTCTTCATCATTTTGCTCATGATTTTGATGAAATAAATAGTTTCTCAAACAACAATGAGAGGTAGGGAGAATTATGATACTCAGAACACCAATTTTCTTCACTCTGGAAACCTTTAGTTGTCTTCTAGGGCTGCAGAAGCCTTAGGGCAGCTGCCTCTGAAATCTTTCAGCCATGCCCTGACGATGTTATGTGTGTTGGGTCACCATATATATATAAATTTCTGGAATTCTTATATGTTCAAAGTATAGCACTGAAACATGTTTCTCTGAAGTATGGACAAAATCTGCTAGTTAATATTTGGGATAATAAATCTATGGGCTCTCATTTTCTTGTATATCTCATGCTGCTTAAGTTTGGAGTTTGTAATATAAACTTTTGCTTGTTATATTATTAATATATTAATGTTTCATTGATGTTTGGGCTGAAAATGAAGGGGCAATCTTCCTTACTGAAATCAACAGTCTTTTAGGACATTATAGCTTGAAATTTGAGGAAGATAAACTTTTATGACCTTAATTCACTGATTGCCAGCAGCCCAACCTCTATAGGCCCCATGCTTCAAATAATCCAAAAATGAGTCTGAGGTAGACAGTGGATATGCCAGTGACATGTTTGAATTAAAGTCTATAGTGTTGGCAATTATGGATCAGGTGTGAATTGAGTAAAACTCAGGACCATGTTTATACCCAACATAGTCAAAAACTGTTTATCTTGTTTTATACCCACCTGGCTTGGAATATAGTCATGATCAGTAGCCATTTTGCTGGTCATGTTTTTTCTTGTGTGCAAAGGTACTTTTCTAAATAATAGCATTGTTAGAAAGAATGAATCTTTAGTGTATAAAAAAAAAGGACAAAATACAAGTTTGTCTACATATCTTGTTGATATGGGTTATTATGAAACATTACTAGATAATCAGCCATTATCTGCTGTTATGTTTGACATGATGGAGACAGCAAAATACATTAGAAATCTTCTGACCCTGTGCCACATGTTCTAAATTTCATAGTCACTAGTCATTGGGTATTGTCAGTATCATTCCAATTCTGGAACAGTTCACTGAATAAGCTGTTGATTAAAAATATAATCGTGTTCTTATTTCCTAACATCTTTAAAGTTATAAAAAGTGACAGCACTTTGAGACACAAGGCACTGCCACAGATAGCACAGCACTTTGAGACACAAGGCACTGCCACAGATAGCGATACCAAAATAAAAGTACAAGCAATGCATGCATCTAACCCAGTTTTGGTGGAATACACTTTTTCACATACTTGTTTAAAAGCCAATATGATTGGCAGCTACATGAAGGGAAGATTGTCTAACCTCATCTATCAAAAATTGTTTAGTAGTTTCACATGTTTACACCATAGGTAGCCGAGTGTGTATATGGTGCATAGCCATACATAGTACATGGTGAACATTGCCACTGATATCCAAAGGCCTAGTGTGTATAGACAAATTGAATTTAAGAGAAAATACGTCACCTTTCTTGATTACGGATGAATTCTTCCTCCATAAGTAGGTAGTCCTTAATTCGTTCAAGTTTCAGTAGCTTCAGCCGACATCTCGTGTGTGGTGTGACTGCTGGAAGCTTAAGGGCAGTGTCAGGGCCCTTCGTACGCCTCTTCTTCTTCCCTACACGAGTTGGAATTGGGGGCTCATACTTTTTCTTCTTGTCCTTCTCCTCTTTCTTGTCACCACCTCCCGGTCCTGACTGACTTTGGCCCTAATTATAATACACTCGGTTAGATGTATGTAGGAAGAAGGGTTTCGAGTACTCACCATTGTTGATCAGCAAGACTTTTTGTTTGAAATTACAATCCACTTTCTTGTTTGCAAAAATACCCAGTCATCGGCCGATGACGGATGACAGAGGATTTTACTTAATTTTATTTTTGTGACAAGGAATAGGGATGGGCAAAAATTACCGGTCAATTCAATAACCGGTTTTTCTAAATTAATTAACCGGTTATTTCATAATCTACGGTTAAATGGTTAAAAAGGGCAATAACCGGAATCAATATCTTTCTTTTCAAAAATCTCAGTAAATATGGGCCTAGATAATATTACGACTGTTTTTGTTGTCCTTGACCACTTTTCCCATATGCATGTGCTTCGGCATAACCTATCTTTGGCATTTTTTGTTGAAGAGATTAGCTGTTCTGTCAGTTAGAACCTCAGTAATTTTTGGGCAAAAGGCTCCCGACCTACCCTGATGAATAGAAGAACTCAAGTCAACCGCTTCCACACGGGTATCATGTAGAAAACCTATGAAACGTCAAACAAATACCTATGTCATCTTGCAAACTAGGTAGTTTTTAGGGAGCAAACAGTCATTCCATGTTTGCTCACTAGGATCGTTGTGAATGTCCATCTATGGAGAAATCACTCAACTAAACTGCACGCATTATTGGTTGCATATGTTTTGTCAGACCGAGTGGTCCTTGTCTGTAGTTTTTATTTCTGAGAAGAAAGTTCGTTGAATAGGAAGATCGCATCTGGATGATTATGTGTATTGGTCTGCATGTGTATAAAATCAGTGATATTTACTGTGTGAGAAAATCATTATTGAATACGCTGCCAATGAAGTATATCTATTGGCGGTGCCCGACGGGTTATTTTTATGTTGTGCTTTCTGATGAGAGGTTTGTGGACAAAGTTATAAATTACGAAAAACTGAGGAGAATTACGGGAAATCATCACCGCGTCCGCGTTGTGAGTAATTACTATAAGCATGTATATGGCTTGTAATTCGACAGTGTACAGTGAATTTAATTATTTCTTATCTCCCTCATTTTTGAAATTCAGCAAATTTGTATATGTAATTTGCAAAATGGATAAGAAAAAGTGGATGCTCAACTAATGTATAGCTTTGAATCTCAATTAAGTGCATTTGAGACAAGAACCCAATGTAATTATCATCAACAGATACAACTGACAGTTTAGACAGTGTATATGTTTTGTGGTTTAGACCTCCAGTAATGCCACCTGAGAAGCAGACTTTACATCACATCAGAGCCAAAGATTGATAAAAAGCCTCATGACGTTTAGGCAACACGTACAACTAAGTATTAAGTTAATATCTTGTAGAAAACCCTACATAATGTAAAAAAACTAGCATGTCAAAAAAAATCGGCATAATGTCACTTTTCAAGATACGTGATACCCGTGCGGGACAGCTTGAGGTTCTAATAGATGTTCTGTAGTCAAACAACGTCTTCTTCATGCCACGGTTTGTGACAAGATTTGAGGTTTAACAGATGCCAACTTCACAAGAAAAGCTCACATTTGCTTTTGACGTTCCAGAAGTATTACTTTATTGTATTTCCGAACGTATGGAACAGGTATTCGGTTCGGTTGATAAGTGCCGGTTAAAGCTATTGATGTAATAACCGATTAACCTATAACTGTTTTTAATCAATAGCCCCATCTCTAAGAACGGAACGAGGATGGTTGCGTTGTTGAGGTTACATGGGCGGTCACCACGCAGTCACATGTTAGCACTGTCAGCTGTCACCACCAATTTTCTTATGTTCTATGTCATGAATGGCAAGTTTTGAAAATTTTGAATTTTCCAAATGAAAAGGATAATCTAAAATTTTCTTATATTTTTGAAAATCTGTTTACAAACTGTTCATGACGATTGCTATGTAAAAACAGAGTCATATTTTGAGTAACCTTTTCTGCTAAAATTATTGTCACCCTGTCATCGCTAAACATTTGTCAGATTTTCAAAATATTTTTCTACGACAAACCTACAGATTTTCGAAAAACATGCTATGTTAAGTGAAATTAATTGTATCTTGCAAGAACGTTATTGGAGAAACGATGGGAACGGTACATGCAAAGGTACGAAAATATGTTCTATCAAATCTACGTGACATAACCTAAGTACAATTTCCAGGCTGACGAAAAACTAACAGAAGTACCTCATTTTGCACATAAACATACATTTCGAGAACTACCCGAGAAGGAGCAAATTAAAGAGATTGACCTAGAAGGAATACAGGTAAAAAAATGATCTATTATGTAACATAACCACACCTTGAAGTTACATTGTATGCACCCTTGAGATGAGAGTTTATACAGTTTTAAAGGGTTCCTTATAACTATATATTATTCCAATCCAACCCTCCATTGATTGCTACCTAAAAATACACAAATCTTATAATAAATTGAGGAAAAAGATACAATTAAAATAATCACATTTATAGCAAAAAGATGTCATTATATGATGCCATATCCAAAATAAAGGTGAATTCTTTAATTCGCCGGTTGATTCCACCACTGATGGATGCGGTGCTTATGGTTGACACTGTTGACAGCTTTGTATGGTGACGGCAGCAACCGGTTGAATTAAAAGGAGGGATGTCTGGTCCACCGGTGGCACCGGTTGCTCAACCGGTGAATTAAAAAATACACCATGTGTGATTGACAGTTTTATATTACATGCAGAGGTTGGTTGATCCTATATTTTAAAGCAGCAGGGTTTTGAATATTGAGAGTATGCGAGCATTTTGATATAGAAGCATAAAAATAGTGGTCAACTGGGCTGTGTGTGATCAGATGAATGAAACTACTAGTTTATTAAAATAAATATTACAATGTTTTCAGCTAATGTATGACTAAAACAATCTGTAGTGGTCTTGAAAATCCACGCACATACACATACAAAACTATTAATAATTAATTTTTTTTTATTTATAAAATATTCAATAAATTAATGTACTCTGAATTTTTATTATACATTTTTGGGAATATATTTACTAATAACTTTTATCTATGATAGTGGCAGAATTTAAATCTATAAATATAAATTTTTAGCTTTAACACCTACCCCAGTAGGCTTTTTCTGAAGAGGGGGCAGAGGGCTGCAATAAGTTTCTATTTTTTATAATAGTAATAAAATAGAAGAAACCTAACGGTTTTATACATTTTATAACAAAAAGTGAAAAACATATGAAAACTTTTATTAAGCAGTTTATTAACAAAATATGATAGAATCCATTTTGTTTATGTCTTTATAGCTATTTGAGCTTTTCATTCTATTTTAGCTGTGTCTTGTATAAGATGATTCATTTAGTTAAGGGTACTTATTTTAAAGAGGGAAAAATAAAAACAATAAACTTTATTTGGTTATCGTTGCAAGAGTATTTATTTCAAATGTTGGCTGATACTAAGATGATGTGGCTCAGCCTAATTTTTGACCAGTTTGAGTATTTTTACTGATTTGTGCTCACTGTTTTCTGAGTTAAATTCCTGCCAATATCCTCAGAAGATTTAGTTTTAGGAAGCTGGCGCAGAAGTACTTGTAACCCAGTCTGTGAAACTGTGGACTTGCGAAAACAACAATTCTGTTTTCAAAAAATAATTTAAGTATGAATTACACAGATTCTCCTTTTGATAATATAGATAACCAGATACAGTTAGCTGCTGTTATTATATATGCTTTTGGAAAAGAGTAGAAAAGTACCTCTAAATGAATTATATATATTAAATCTTAGAAATCTCACAAGCTTTTCTTGCAAAATGAATGCAATACTGTTCAACTATCAAACTGATAACATAGCTATAGATAAAAATCTTGGGGTGATTTTTGATAGTAAGTTTACATTTTCTGAGCATATAAGGTAGATGATCATGTCAGTAAACAAGGTTTTGGAAATGTGTGTATCAGAAACTGGTCTAGTTTTGTTAGCATGAGAAGTGTGAGAGCACTGTATACTTCTTTTATAAGGAGTAAGCTGAAGTATGGTGCAATTATCTGGTTTCCATTATATGCATTACAAAGTTTATGGTTTTTCTCCTGAAAGAGGTTTACCTCACGTCATGCTCCTAGAAAGGATGAATTAGGACGATCTAGTTTACTGTTGCCATACTAACGATATTCCAACTCTATAAAATATAGTCAATAATAGATTAGACTGTCTGGATTTACTAGTCCATTGATTAAGTTGTTTTATGTAATACAAATAACTATATAAAAATGCAAATAATGTTTTAGGCTAGGGTAGATAAGATAAATGTGGATGGCCTAGCAAGAACAAAAAATGACATAGTAGAGGATTGTATCAAGGATTTATTCAAAGCAACAGATTTCCAGGATGTTCTATTGAAAGCACACAGGGCTCGCGTGAAACTTGATGAGTTAGGATGCTTTAAAAATATATCTGTATTTATTGATACCAGCAAAGGACCAAAATCTACACCAGATGGTTTGGAGGTATGGTTGAACTACAAATGACTCCCAAAAAAATACAAATGTTGTTATACAGAGTGTCCGCAAAGTTGGGGTTTTCCTTTACACGACGTGAAGATCTTGAAAACATAAGCAATTTTTCTTAGTACCATATACACCAATGTCTTAAGGGAACCGAGATAAAGGGCTCTGCAACATCAAAAATATCTGAATACCGTCCTGTAGCCGCGACCCGCCGGGACATCCCCGACTGATACAAGGTCTCAACCAGACGGCAGAACTGGGTCGGGGTCAGTGTGTCAGGTTAGTATGCAACCTTCAAGCGACGGTTACAGTCACGCGTGTAGAGGTAAACGAACTCGTATAATCGATTGCGTTTCAAAAAACAACAAGCACTAGAGACGTGGCTAGAGAAGTGCAAGTATCAAAAACTAAAGTGTGGCAAACGCTGCGTGAAGAGGGGCTGTATCCGTTTCACGTCCAACGTGTACAAGTCCTTCAACCTGACGATTTTCCAGCAAGACTGCGGTTTTGTGAGTGGTTGTTGCATCAACATGACAATAATCCGGACTTTGTGAAGTGCATATTGGTGACAGGCGAATCTACGTTCACGCGTAATGGGATGAATAACTTTCGCAACACTCATGTTTGGTCATTTTCAACAAACATTTTCGGTGAATGTTTGGGCTGGCATGGTGAACGGTATGCTCATTGGACCATTTATTCTCCCAAATCGATTGGACGGGATGCAATACCTAGACTTTTCACGCAACATTTTGCCTTCCTTGTTAGAAGATGTGCCATTAAGTGTAAGACAATGTGGTTTCTGCTCGGTAGCGCTTCAGCTGATTTCATTTTCTGTTGGAGCGGTATGATTTCGGGCGGAGAGTCAGTACTTTTTCCTTTATTTTTTTTTTACTTGGTCGCCCTCGTTTCACTACACATTACCTTTGTTATTTCAAGGGTAGTTGTTTCTGAAAAGGAAAACCCCCAACTTTGCGGACACCCTGTATAATTCAAAATTCTGTGTAGATAATTTAAACATTTATGTTTACTTCAAATTCATATACCAATCATCCTAGATTTGTAAAAAAGTCAAGATGTACTTGAAATAAAGTGACCTGCCATCATTTGCTTTACCAAATCAGGGACAGTGTTGCATAATGATCAAAATTAAAACTTAATGCAATTTTTTTAGGTGACATTCAATGTGAGAGAACATAAAAGGATAACAGGTGGAGTGTCCACTCAGGTGGGTAACAACGAAGGAGCTCTACTGGTGGGGATGCGCGTGCCCAATCTCTTTGGCAGAGGGGAAAGGGTCCAAGTTGAATACAGTTATGGCAGCAAAAAGACGACCAATTTCAATGTGGCATTCATCAAACCTATCAGGGGCAGACATAGATCGGCGTGAGTATAGTGTGCATTCACTTTGAAAAATAATTTTCAAACTACTCATCAACATACGACTGTTTGTACAGGGTCCGGCAAAAAGGTTTTTAAAAAATCACAGAATTGGTGATGTTTACTCAAAAACAAATTTAGTGACGGTTTCGGCGTTTGTTGTGGTGACCGTTTTTTGACGATGCATTGGTGGAGGCGTTCTTGAAAGTTCGCGTTTTCTCAACTTGGCGACTTCCACGCAAATTGCCTCCTTCAACTCGTGCAGAGTTCGGGGCTTGTGCTCGTATACAAGAGTATTAAGGTGTCCCCATAGGAAAAAATGATGGATAAATGGGGGGACCGAGGAGGCCAACAAACATCATTAAACCTGGAAATTTCAGATCTCTTAAATAAAAACACCAACCTTTTCATAGCTGGTGACTTCAATCTATGTGACATTAGCTGGCCTATGTCAACCATTCCTGAATGCAATTCTTTTTCAGCTGCTTACATCGACTTGCTACGCAACTCTAGCATATCTCAACTTGTTGATCGTCCAACGAGATTCAGGGAAGGACAGACGCCTAGGGCTCTGGATTTGATATTCGTTAACGACGCCGACTTTGTTTCTAATTTAGATTATTTGCCACCTTTTGGCAAGTCTGACCACTGTTCACTTTTATCTTCTCTCCAGTTCAATATAAATAGTCGTTCTACAACCGATAAGTTTAAAACCATCAAAATTGTAAACCACGATGCTCTTAACCAAGCCCTGTCTGAAGTCAACTGGCCTGCTTTGCTTAACAACCGTAGCACCCAAGATATGTGGGACACTTTCGCTCAACGAGTCCTAACCGAAACGGCTGACAATACTGTTGAAAAGAAGGTATACTGTGACCCCTCAAAGCCCTGGATCAACTCTAACATATCGAGGATGCTTCGACACAAGAGATCTTTGTGGCAACGGTTTAGGAGGAGTGGCCATTCACAAGATTACGTGTCTCATCGATCCTTTTCTAACCTCCTATCTAGAACGTTACATAATGCCAAACATGCTTATGAACGAAAACTCGTTACCTCCAAAAATAAGAAGAAGCTGTTTCAGTATCTAAGAACAAACCTGAATTCCAAAGTTTCATCACCTCAGATCCGCGACGCTGACGGTCATCTCCACATGGATGCCACCGAATCTGCCAACTTACTGGCAGAGTCCTTTAGTGATGACTTCGTCGATGAGCCTAATGGAGACCTTCTACCGACCACTATCTGCCATAGGTGTCCCAACAGCCTTTGCGAAGTTGAGTTCCTGCCTGAAGATGTATTAATGCACCTGCGAAATCTGAAGACCTCTTCCTCCCCTGGTAAAGATGGGATGACGGCTGCTGTACTTGAAAACTGCGCTTCAGCACTGGCCCTACCATTAAGCTTGATATTCACATCGTCTTTTAGATCTCATACCCTACCCTCATGCTGGCTTAGTGCTTCTGTTACCCCTGTATTCAAAAAGGGCGACAAATCCTCCGCTAAAAATTATCCAATAAGTCTCGTTCCTATCGCCGCCAAAATAGCTGAAAGAATCATATTAGATAAGCTCCTGTCATTTGCTTTCGAAAATGACCTTATTCCTAAGATTTCTCCCTGGTCGATCAATAATGACCAACCTTCTCCACTCTCTCAACGATTGGACCCAGTATCTGGACACAAAGATTCCTGTTGATATAATCTACTTAGATTTTTCTAAGGCTTTCGATCGCGTACCACATAGAAGGCTTCTGTTTAAGTTGGAATGTATGGGAATAAGAGGCGAGTTGTTACTGTGGATTAAGGCTTTTCTCACCGGTAGGACTTTCTCTGTGCGCGTCAGTGATAGCCAGTCTCACCTTCATCATGTAGCAAGTGGAGTTCCTCAAGGCTCTGTCTTGGGGCCAGTGCTGTTCCTTCTGTATACAAGTGACCTGCCCGCATTGATTTCCTCCACATGTTCAGCTTATGCCGACGGCACCAAGATTTACAATACTGTCGTAAATTCTGCTATGCTTCAACAGATTTTGATATTGTTTGTCAATGGTCAGTCAGTTGGCTTTTACCCTTAAATCTAACTAAGTGTTGTGTCCTTCACCTCGGGAAGACAAATCCGCGATTTACATACAAGATCTCTGACCACAACATCGAAGTAGTTTCCAGCCACACTGATCTGGGCGTTGCAGTCAACGATCGTCTTTCCTGGTCAGAGCATATTCACCACGTTACATCAAAAGCCAAGAAACTTCTATACATGCTGGAGAGGTCTTTCAAAGGATCCGATGTCAACACTTGCGCCTATATTTACAAGGCATTCGTGAGGCCAATTCTTGAATTCGCTGGCCCGGTATGGGACACTGTGCTTCTGCGCGATAGAAATCTCGTCGAATCAGTTCAGCGTCGGGCTACTCGTATCCCTTTTGGAGCACGAAGACCAAGCTATGAAGATCGCCTTGAATTATTCAACCTCACCTCATTCTCTGGGCGAAGACTTCGTGGCGATCTTATAGTTACGTTCAGGATACTTCATGGTTTGATGGGCACCAACCTCATGCATCTATACCGTCTGTCGCGCAGCAATCTACGCGGACACAGCTTCAAACTGCATAATTAGCCATTTAAAACAACAGTCCGACAGTGGTTTCTTCCCAACCGCATATTCAACACCTGGAATAGTTTACCTGAAAGTGTGGTTGGTGCTACTTCAGTGAATAGCTTCAAAGTGCAGTATGATAGCTGGAGGAGTGTACAAACTTTATAGCTATGGACTGTCTTTTTTTTATTTTTTTCTATTTGATGTATTTACGTGTCCGTACACTATATTTGCTGCATGAGCTTATAGTACTGTGTACTCTGCTCATCTCAATTATCATAATAATAATAATAATTAAGCGACCATGGAAGAGAGGGCGAATAACGTTCATCATTGCTTAGGCTGTGTGGGCGGAATGGACGACGGAATGGAATATGTCGTCGTCGTAATTCGGGTGAAAAGAGGTTTGTTGTTCACGGTAAAAGCATTCCCGTTACCGTCTTCGAAGAAGTAATGGCCGATGATGCAAGTTTGCGATACAGCGCAAAACCGTCACTTTTGGGTTGTGCAGCGGTCTTTCATGTAACTGTCGCGGATTTTCATTAGCCCAATAACGGAATTCTGCTGGTTAACCATGCCATTAAGATGAAAGTAAAGTGGCGACGAAAGTCAAGCTGTACAGCCGTGATAGATTCATTACGTCGGACATAATGTCTACTTGGTAAAATGCTAGGAACGCCCGAGTTGAACGACTCTCCCCACCATTATCGCCCAAATAGGCGGAGCATACTAGCCATTTTAAAAACATCCATCCTTTATGCCGGACCCTGTATTTAGTAAAGTAATCTCTTGGAGCCAGGTTTGGCCTATGAGGATGTCTTTTAAGTTTTGCATATGGAAATAAAACAACACGGTAGGTAGTTTTAAATGACTTTATTGTTTTTCGAAGTATTCTCCACGAAGATTAATACACATCTGCATGCGCTCGAACCAATTTTCGAAGCACTCGTTTGCTGGCAGATCCAAAACGGCATTTCTGAATGCGTCTTACTGCTTCTTCTGGTGACTGGAACCTTTGACCACGCAGTCTGTTTTTAATTTTCGGGAAAGTAAAGAAATCGTTAGGACTTAGATCGGGACTATATGGAGGATGGTCCAATAATTCCATGTTTTCTTCCGTTAAATACTACCTTGTTTTTTGGGCTGTGTGCGAGCTTCTTTCGGGGTTGACTTTTCGAAGCTCGGTGATGACTTTTGGCAAACAAATGGTGGTATACCGATCCGCAGTAACAGTTCTTTGCTCATTAAGAGGAATTGTTTCAATATGATCCACTTTTGACACAAATTTTGTATCGCTTCCTTTCCGCAAAAAGTCCAGAAAAGATGGAATGCAATGAAGATTCCAACTTTTCTGCACAATCACAGAAAAGGGGTTACCATTAGCTTCCGGTAGCTCAGTCGGTGGCATGAAGACATCTACAGGCGTGTAGCTGTGTGTCGACCATGGCATGGCTAGAGGATAGAAGAACAAACAGAACACAAAAATTTAACAGATTTTATTTAACAAAAAAGCATTCTCATTACATTTGAAATTGAAATTTTAAAGAACATAATAAAAGTTTTAAATCATTGGCGTTGTTACATAACTATACACTTATCTTTCGCTAAGCTGGTCCATTTTGACTGGACTGAAGCGAGGATGGCCAGGTGCTTGAAGTGGAGGTCCCAGTTATGAGGGGTGACCTCACATTTAGTGGCTTCAAAACTAGATGTAGGCGAAGTTGAACTTAAAGGTGATGGCGCTGCCAAGGCACATGCATGGGTGAAGTGATAGGCCAAGCAATGCAAAGTCAAAGACAAAGGCAAAAGTCAAAGGCAAAGGGAAAGGGGGTGGCCCCAATCATTTTATCCTATTTGGACACACATTTTACAAAATTCTAGCACATGGTGCTATATGACCTCATGCTACAGAGAACAAAATTCTTAGCTCTTGTTAGAGCGGCGGCTCAAGTGAAAAGGAAGCGCGAGGAAGATCACAGATCAGGAACTCCGCATCAAGCGGGCTCCAAGCGGAAATTTTTCCAAGTAAAAACGCTAGAGATGGGATTAATGAGTTGCGATTCTGAAATGATAGTCGAGAAGTGATTTAATAAATACAATCGGACGGTGAAACCGTTACAATGTCGCAACCATCTTTTTCGAAACACTTCGAGAAAGGATGACTTTTCTTGGATTTTCTTCACCTTGGAACACCCAAACAGCCGACTGTCGTTTATTTCCTGGTTCATAACAGTAAATCCACGATTCATCACCACTAACAATGCTGTACACATTTTTGAGTTTCCGGAATTGAAACAGTCAAGCGTTTTTTGACACCAGGCTGCTTTCTGCTCTTCAGTCAACAGGTGCGGTAACTAATTTTCTTACTCTTAATTCTTCATGTAAAATTTTTTGAATTGAGGTCTTTGAGATCTTCAAGGACGCCTTAATCTCGCGATATGTCACATGTCTATCTTCAATGATGAGTTTGCGCACAGCATCGACGTTTTCCTGGGTGACTGCCGTTTTTGGTGCACCCACTCTGAAATCGTCGCTAAGACTCACCCTTCCACGTTTGAATTCTCCATACCAACGGAAAATTGTCGACTGATGTGGCGCTTCGTTGCCGAAAACAGACAGTAACTCAGCAAGGCATTCTTGTTGCGATAATTGACTCTGAAAGTTGTAATAAATTATGGCGCGAAAATGTCCTCGGTTGAGTTCCATTTTTCCAATGACTTGGTGACACTTAAAAATTCACTGTAGTGAGAACACTGCACATTTGAATGCAAGTTTACTAAAGAGTGAGGTTATGATTCAGTACTGACGTTCGATCCGCACGGACTACTATGTTTCTATATGCAAAACTTAAAAGACATCCCTCGTATATTTGCTTAGTAATGAATATGCTGGCAATCAGGCGAGATCCTGATGTCAATGTTGAGGACACAGAGTTCTTCCATAAAGCCCCAGTATAGACACATCGTTTTATCTAACTGATGAAAAAGTATTTTTATCTAATTAACCAACACCAATTTTGACTAAATATTTATTGATTTTCATAGGTTTACTACCAGCATCTTCCAACAGCATTCAGAGTGGCCTCCATCCAGTTATAAGTTGGTAGAAAGAGGTGTGCTGTTAGATTATGGGTTTCATTCTACGTCACTTGTAAGTTTTAAAATCATTTAATGTCATTGCGGCAATCAACTCAATATCTAAGTCATAAAGCTTCATTCATAAAGCTATCTGCTATGTATTCATATTTTTTTCATATCAAACACGTATTATCGTTTATCAAAAGAAATAGTTTATTTAAATGCTGTCTGTTGTCATAAAATTTTTTGAACAAAATAACTTACGAAGGTTGACTTCATCGCGCAATTCTGAGAGTAAGTTTGCATAATAACAAGCACTTTTTAATTTGTGGGTTTTCACAAGAGGTCCTCCCACACTTAAAACCTCGTCACCACCGTTTGACAATATCACGAGAGTCTGAGCAGCTGAACACCCATCAACAATATTTTGATGAATTTCAGTGGGCTTCATTCCATTTTGTTTTGCTCTTTGCCCACGCAGCACGTTACTTCATTACAATTTAACATATCGACTTGACACGAGGACTGTAAATTAAGTGACGAGATTGGCATCGTAGCGTTCGATCTGGCAACACTGGAGGCGCCGGGCTTGGAGGGGAGTCAGGGGAACCTGTGATCTGTCTTCAGTACAAGTTTGAACTCGCTCGAGTCATTTGGTTGTCCGTAGTGATTTTTTGTGAAAGAGGCCTTCATCTTCAAGAACCGATGAAAATATCGACAGAATCCGGGATCTTGTGCGTTCATATCATCGGTTGACAGTTAGAATGATCGGAGAAGAGTTAAGTTTGACTGACACCACCGTTCATCAGATCAACAACTCCTTTTCACACAACAAAATCAATAAACGAGTTTTTGGCCAGTAAAAACTCCTCAGCCTCCTTATGCGCCTGAGTCCCTGTGACTTTTCCTGAAATTGAAAAATCACCTTAAGGGAACTCATTTTGTCAGTCGAAAACGTTCAAACGGCTGTAACCGACCAGCTGAAGGCTATTCCAGTATCGAAGTTTCAGCTCTTCTGTGAGGAGTGGAAGAACCGTCCCCAAGGCTGTGTGACTTCAGAAGGAAGTTATTTTGAGGGTGACAATATCAAATTGTAATTATATTCAGTCTCATCACTTAATTTACAGACCTTGTAGCTTATTAGTATCACTTGTTTTGCTGCAAACAACAATAAGCATCATAAGGATCAGGGGCAGAGTACAGGTTTTAAAGTTTGTCTTTCACAATATAACGAAAAAAAAAACATAAATGCATTATATCCTCTTTTTTCAGTTGAAACACAACTTGCAATGGGAAGGCAATATTCGGGATCTGACCGTCTTAAGTCGCTCCGCTTCATTTGACGTCCGCGAACAATCAGGCTTGACCCTTAAGTCGGCCCTGAAGCACATTCTCTCCGTAGATCTAAGAGACGATATTATTTTTCCATCAACTGGTGCTCTGTTCAAATTGACTTCAGAGGTAGCAGGGTTGGGTGGCGATGTTGGGTTCCTCAAGAACGAGTTCTTCATACAAAGCAACTATTCTTTGATGGAAGATGTGGTAAGTGGATTTCAGATTTAATAATAAGAATACGGGCATACCATTTCACGTTTCTCCAATAATAATGATAATATTTATTGGCATTAATTATAATGAACTGAGAAAAAAGATTAAAATATTCATAAACATATTAAATAATTTGTTCAGGGCATGGTTTGAGAGGAGAGCAATCTCCATCGATAATCTTGTGTATATTTGAGCACTTCAGCTGGTTAACAAAACTCCAGAATTAATCCACCGAATACAAGATTAATATGATCAGATACGACATACGCCGGGAATATTTCAACGAGTTCAGCAATCAATGTTAAGATGAGGTATAATGCTTGCATTGAGGTTGAAGGAGGGCATTTTCAGCGACTTTTTATAAGTCTCGTGTTATTTACTGTTAAATATTTTCATTGAAATAAAAGTTTAAGTGTTTATTTCCAGCGTTACCAATGTGCAACGCCACTGGCAAAACATTGCAACAATAAATAACGTTGTGTAAATACTTTATGTTTATCTGTTTTATCGAAAGCAGATATAATCTGAGCAAAAAAAAATCAAAAGACGACTTTCGTGTATCTTAATTATCAAAAACATGCGAAGCGAGATATGAAAAAAACTCGGGAGACAAAAAAGTTGTATTTTTAGCTGCTTAATTCGCAAAAAAAAACACGGGTTTAAAAAGAGTGGTTTTTGTGTAGGGTGATATACATATACTAAGTGACATATAAATCCGAACACCCAGTTTAAATGGTTTTATTTTAATAAAATTTTGTATAAGTACTTAATGAAGCATAATAAGTAAATGATAAAAATTTCAAAATGATTGCACTGCTTTAAAGCCCTTTGACCTTTAATAATGTGTGGATGCACCCTGATGTGCTACGCATTCTCCAACGCGCCTAGGCATGCTTCTGATCAGGTGGTCAATGTCCTCCTGTGGTATCTCATTCCAGGCAACCACCAACTCCTCTCGAAGTGCTTCTAGAGTCTGAGGAGGACGTTGCAAATTGAGCAATCTCCTACCCATCATATCCCACACGTGCTCAATTGGGGATAAGTCGGGAGATCTTGGTGGCCATGGTAACAATGTGACATCATTATGTTGAAAGAAGTCTATTGTGACTCTTGCAACATGTGGTCGGGCATTATCTTGTTGGAAAGTTGGATCTGCCAGGGTGTCAAGATAGGGTAAAAGATGGGGTTCTAGAACTTCGTGGATATAACGCTGCGCGTTCATGTTACCTCTGATGAAGATTAAAGGTGACCTGGAACCATAAGCTATAGCACCCCAAACCATAACTCCAACAGTGTGATGAACATGTCTTTCAACAAAAAACTGTGGATTCCTCCTTTCACCACGTCGCCTTCTAACCCTGGCACGACCATCGTGCATGCCTAAACAAAATCGAGACTCGTCACTAAAGACAATACGGTTCCATTCCTGATCCCAGAGTGACCGTTGTCTGCACCACTCAAGGCGATTACGTCGGTGTTCTCGAGTTAAAGGGAGGACCCAGTGTGGCCGGTATGAAAATAAGCCAAAACTTCTCATTCGTCAGTAAACACTTCGCATGCCAATAGGTCTACCGTGTTCTGCAAACCATTCATTTGCAATGGACCTGGTAGTGGAGAAACGGTCCCTTAAGGCCAATAATCTTAGGCGGCGATCTTCACGGTCTGTTGTTCTACGGCGGCGTCCAGTGCCCCTTGCTCTTTGCGTACGGCCTTCTCGAAGCCATGCCTGACAACACCTAACCACAGTGTCTACACTTCTTTGCACTCTAACTGCAATTGCCCGAAAAGAAAGTCCAGCTTCCCGAAGTCCCACTATACGGCCCCTATCAAACTCACTAAGTTGACGAAATCGTACAGGTCTCCGTACTCTAGGCATCGTAACCGATCGTAAAGGATGTCAAGAACCAAAATCCGCCAACGTTGATTCTTTACTGCGGCTGAAATATTCATTTTTAGAGCGTTAGTGAATTAAAAAAAACAGTATAAAAACCGGAATGTCCAACTGATAAGGCTGAAATTTTTTCACTTGTTATTTACAGTAAGATAAATACATTCACCAACTTTTATTAAAATAAAACCATTTAAACTGGGTGTTCGGATTTATACGACACTTAGTATATATTCAAAAGCCATGAATAGTGCTTTTATATTATAAGACTAACGCCGTGCTCTGGGTATAGACTTGTGGATTTAGCAGTAATGAAGCCGTGTTCCATACTGATAGGCGCAATGCATTTCTTGGCCTGGTCGTTCCCCGGATTTAACACCTTGCGATTGTTTTCTGTGGGGCTATTTGAAAGAGTTGGTGTATCATGATGGAGCAGTAAATACTCTGGAACTTATTTTAATAACTTGAAAAATAGTCGTGGATTCTCCGAGCAAGTTTTTGCGTTAATAGACCAAATGGGGACAATTTTGAACAGTTTTTGAAAAAACGGAATACATCTAACTTGATAATGATTCTTTTTTAAATAATTTTCAATAATGTAACTCTCTTATTATGCAACTTTTATATAGGTGATTTTTTGTATATCAACTTCTTTTGAAGATTTATAGAAGCTGTTAAAATAAATGACTCAACTTTGAAAATACCCTGTACACCAGAATTATTAGTCTGTCTTTATATATTAGGTTGTGCAAGCCAGCTTATCGGCAGGTTACCTATCTCCCCTGTCTTCAGGCCATAAAAAGATTGGCGCTGCAGATGCTTTCTACCTAGGCGGGCCCCTATCACTCAGGGGCTTCCGTCCAAGAGGATGCGGTCCACGATCCAGTGATGGAGATTCTCTTGGTGCAAGGTATAAATGAAATCCGTTTTCGCTTTTTATAAACAGACTTGATCAGGAAATCATAATGCATACTGCAAATTCAGCCATGCTCACTGTACTGTACGTTTTGTGTCGTATGCTTTCTCATCTGTCAGACCAAATATTGCACAGAAATATCACAATACCTAAACATGAAACTAGGATCATACTATTTCTTGCAGGTGTTTCTGGAGTGCTGGTCTACATCTGTTTGCACCATTGCCTTTTAGGAAAAGCTCCAGTAAAGGAGGCCTGGCCGACCTATTTAGGACACACATATTCGTGAATGCCGGAAATGTACTGGCAGATCTCGACCTAGCAGGTAATAATAATGTATCCATCAGGCATTAACGTCATTTCTTGGTCAATAATGTTAACAACCGCTCTTATACTGGGTGCGCCATATATTACTTTTTTTTACCTATAAGTTTATGTGTTACCATGTGAGTCAAAAGTCATGTGGTATGCATAAATGAACTGTCAAAGGTATGCCATTAATAGTCATGGATTCGTTTACAACACAACAACGCATTTTGGTTATCCAAACTTATTACGAAAACGGTCGAAATATAAAAAATACTTTTTGCAAACTTCGCACTAGTTTTGGCCAACATGGACGCCCAACAGAGCCTGGAATTCCTTGGATTGTTAATCGTTTTGAGGAAACTGGTTCAGCTGAAGGTTGTAGACCATACCAACATGCTCGTCCAGCTCGTACTCGTGAAAACATAGCCGCAGTGGGTGAAAGTGTCGACTAAGCACCGTTCGCAACAATTGGGAATTAGTGAGACCACTTTACGCCGGATTTTACACATTGATTTACACCTCCATCCATACAAAATCCAACTAACACAAGAATTGAAGCCGGCAGACCATCAACAGCGGCGTGTTTTTGTTAATTGGATGCTGGAAAGAGAAGATGGATTTTCGGCCAAAGTGCTCTTTTCTGATGAGGCTCATTTTCACCTCAATGGGTGCGTAAATAAGCAAAATTGCAGACTCTGGGGGGCTGAAAATTCACAACAATATCATGAACAACGTCTCCATCCTGAAAAAGTGACTGTTTGGTGCAGATTATGGGCTGGTGGCATCTTTAGACCATTCTTCTTTGAAGATGCCGAAGAAAAGGCCATTTGCGTCAACGGGGAACGTTATCGCGGCATGTTAACAGACTTTTTGTGGCCACAATTGGATCCGACGATCTTTGGTTTCATCAAGACGGAGCAACGGCTCAAACATCTCGCCAAACAATCGCCTTATTGCACACGAAATTTCAAGGCCGCATAATTTCACGAAATTCAGATGTCAGTTGGCCCCCGAGATCGTGCGATTTAACATCGCTTGACTATTTTCTTTGGCGATTTTTTGAAAGGAAAAGTATATGCGAATGGTCCCCGGACAATTCAAGACCTATAGCGCAATATTCGGACTGAAATTGCGGCCATAGACCGAATTATTCTGGGAAAAGTCATTGAAAATTTTGATGTTCGGATGTTGGCCTGTAAACGAAGCCGCTGTGGTCACATGACTGATGCTATTTGTCATACATAAATGGCATAAACCAACCTTCATTTATCAATAAAAAATTCGATTTCACCTCGTAAAAAGCGTGTTGATTTTTCAAATAGAAAAAAAGTAATAGATGACGCACCCTTTAATACACTCTTGTATGTTTCATCAACGTTGCCCAATAACATATTACACAAATAGCATTCCGTTGTAGGTAAAAGCGGCGATAAGGACTTGTTAGAAACCCTCCTGACAAATCTACGACTGTCCTACGGTCTCGGCATCGCATTGAGACTGGGCAATATGGCGCGCTTGGAAGTGAACTACTGCTTCCCGCACAGTTACGACAAAAACGATAAGACGCAGCCGGGTGTACAATTTGGCATTGGTGTGCAATTCTTATAGCGGACGGCGATCACAGTGTACAAAAATTACGTTCGTACTGTAGAGAGCACTTGATCTTGTAAGCTGGATGTCTGTTTTGAAAATACAACACATTGCCAAATAAATGTAATTTAGAGAAATATACTTGATGCTGAAATATGTGGTATTGCGATGGACAATCATTATTAGTTTGGTATTGATAGAACGTTTCAAAGGTTTACACGTATCAACGTAGACATTTCATATACCTTGCCAATCATTTACGATTGAGGTAGGCCGAGTTTCAACGTGTACATGCAATGTTAGGAGTGCTTCGTGACCTTCCTCGTAACTTGGTGAGTGCGGGCGTTTTCTTTTAATCAGCAGAAAAAGCTGATGAGATCCATCAGTGCTGAGCTCTGGTGGTGAAGATGCCATCGAAAGCACTACCATCTGTGAAAAAAGTACGAATTGTTGACAATTTGTTATTGTTTTGCTGCCCATTACGAACCCAAACCTATAGTTTATAAATTTCGCATCCGCTACTTTTTGATATTTGATTGGTGCTTCTAGAATATTGAGCGATAAGAGAAAATACTTGAAGAGTTATTTGTTCCGCAGTCAATACAGCGGTTATTTCTGTACCCTTATAAGTGTACATGGTATTACCTCACCATCTATAATTTTTTTGAAACCAAGGATGAAAAGTATTTTGATAAAAAATTTATATTGTGCCAATTTCCATCTGTCAATGTCCTGTCAATCACTCCATCAGCACAAATTGCCGACGGCACCACAAATAGATCCTTCAGGAATAAAAGAAAACATCCTGATGTAATCCAGCGATGAATAAAAGAACAGTTTTTATGGGCTTTAAGGTGGCGCGTCCCTTTTTTAGATTTCTTTTCAACTTCCTGTTTGCGGCAGTATTCTGAATCCTTTTCATCTGAAATTTCAAGGTGTGTATAGAGATGACTAAAAAACGTTTTCATTTTTTTTGTCAAAAAATGCATTTTTCGTGCATTCTTTCTTCAATCGGAACTTAACAAACATAAGTACAGCTCTGAAATTGTATGCGAATATTCCTCTTTTATGGAAGAATGAAACGAGTGATTACCTTTGTTCTTATCACTTTTCGTTTTCGAAAAATCTTTGATTCTCTTGAAGCCTCGTCTCGCAGCAAGTTGAGTTTTCAAGAAAAGAAAAGATTTTTCGAAAAGGAAAAGTGTTATGAACAAAAGTAATCACTTGTTTCATTCTTCCATAAAAGAGAAATATTCCCACACAATTTCAGAGCTGTACTTATATTTGCTAGCAAGTTCCGATTGAAGAAAAAATGCTCAGTAAAATGCACAAATAATGCATTTTTGGACATAAAAAATGAAAACATTGTTTTTTAGTCATCTCTATACACACCATGAAATTATCAGATGAAAAGGATTTAGAATACTGCTGCAAACAGGAAGTAGAAAATATTGTTTTTCGGGAAAAATAGGTTTCCTTCAGGACTTTTCTGAATGATAGCGCTGACTACATTGATTCACGATAGGTATTGTATCCTTCCATTGAAGTTCAGCACATTTTGCAAAACGTAATAATGATCTTACACGTTGCAATCAACCATTAGCAATAATTAGAACCAAAAATGTAGCTGAAGATTATCCGTTTGTTAGAAATGTATAGTTCAAAATATCTTTGTGATTGATTTTTCAATTTAACACCTAAAGACAATGAAAAAGATACCATTGCAATAAACCACAAGCTGTTGATGAAGGCAAAAATCAAAAGACCTGTTTCAATTCCTGATCAGATCTGAAATAATCGAGATTATGTATCGTGAATAACTATGATCCCTTACAATAAATTAGTGTTAATAGATATTGACGAATTCTGTTATTTCGTAAATGAGATTGCATTTTCAATAAGATATCCAGTAGAGTTTTAAACGATCGATGAGATACTAAACTTTCGTTTCCTTTGTCCCATATTTTAATGAAGTGTAAAACAGAGGTGGACTTGGAATTGTTAAAATAAATCGACTTGTTGCATTTAGATGTTATTTATTTTTACAAAGTTACAAAAATACACTACACTATATAAAAAAGTAAAAATTTACATATGGCAAAATCACCTACAAAAAGGAAATGACTAGTAATTATTTGTATATTGAGCTAATTATAATTACTTTACATTTTCTAAGCATGGGCGCCCGCAGGATTTTTTTCAGAGGGGTCGATTATCGGCAAGAGAACTTTTTGTGAGTAGATGCCTTTCATATCTTTTCAATACTTTTCATCTGAAATTTCATGGTGTGTATAGAGATGAATAAAAAAGGTTTTCATATTTTTTGTCAAAAAATGCATTTTTCGTGCATTCTTTCTTCAATCGGAACTTAACAAACATAATTACAGCTCTGAAATTGTATGCGAATATTCCTCTTTTATGGAAGAATGAAACGAGTGATTACCTTTGTTCTTATCACTTTTCCTTTTCGAAAAATCTTTGATTCTCTTGAAGCCTCGTCTCGCAGCAAGTTGAGTTTTCAAGAAAAGAAAAGATTTTTCAAAAAGTAAAAGTGTTATGAACAAAAGTAATCACTTGTTTCATTCTTCCATAAAAGAGAAATATTCGCACACAATTTCAGAGCTGTACTTATATTTGCTAGCAAGTTCCGATTGAAGAAAAAATGCTCAGTAAAATGCATTTTTTGACATAAGAAATGAAAACATTGTTTTTTAGTCATCTCTATACACACCATGAAATTATCAGATGAAAAGAATTTAGAATACTGCTGCAAAAAGGAAGTAGAAAATATTGTTTTTCGGGAAAAATAGGTTTCCTTCAGGACTTTTCTGAATGATAGCGCTGACTACATTGATTCACGATAGGTATTGTATCTTTCCATTGAAGTTCAGCACATTTTGCAAAACGTAATAATGATCTTGCATGTTGCAATCAACTATTAGCAATAATTAGAACCAAACATGTAGCTGAAGATTATCCGTTTGTTAGAAATGTATAGTTCAAAATATCTGTGTGATTGATTTTTCAATTTAACACCTAAAGACAACGAAAAAGATACCATTGCAATAAACCACAAGCTGTTGATGAAGGCAAGAATCAAAAGACCTGTTTCAATTCCTGATCAGATCTGAAATAATCGAGATTATGTATTGTGAATAACTATGATCCCTTACAATAAATTAGTGTTAATAGATATTGACGAATTCTGTTATTTCGTAAATGAGATTGCATTTTCAATAAGATATCCAGTAGAGTTTTAAACGATCGATGAGATACTAAACTTTCGTTTCCTTTGTCCCATATTTTAATAAAATGTAAAACAGAGGTGGACTTGGAATTGTTAAAATAAATCGACTTGTTGCATTTAGATGTTATTTATTTTTACAAAGTTACAAAAATACACTACACTATATAAAAAAGTAAAAATTTACATATGGCAAAATCACCTACAAAAATGACTAGTAATTATTTGTCCTTTTTAGCTAATTATAATTACTTTACATTTTCTAAGCATGGGTACCCGCAGGATTTTTTTCAGAAGGGTCGATTATCGGCAAGAGAAGTTTTTGTGAGTAGATGCCTCCAAAACTTATTCAAAATTTTTTCAAGGGGGGGGGGGCAAATCCTGAAAATCTTCAAAATTGTACACAAGATCGTGACAAATATGAAAAATTTAAGGTCCAGCCGGATTCCCTGCGTGAGCCCATGTTTCTAAGTATACATACAGACCGCGGTAAGTTTTTGGAAAAATGTTTAGACCGATCTGACATCGCAATTATGTTCTTAGGATATAGACAGAAATGATCGTTTAAAAGAGCTGAATACAAAATGTCCCAAAAAAATGTGTGAAATGCTCAAAAAATCGTCAATGTCTACATTCATTTACAAAACCAAAATCAACATGGTATCATCTTGCAATATCTAAGTTTGGACTATCATTTTTAATAGTCTTGTATGCTGTCCTGTTTCAATAACAAAAGTGATGGAAACTCGGCAGTAAAATTATTTTGGGTTAGTAAATTCCAAATGTGATGAAGGAAAAATTCTGCAACACAAAAAAATTCGCGATCGCTACTGGACGGTTCTGCCAATGGAGGGCAATGTTATGAAGAAAATAACAAAAAGTATTACATCAATAGATTACACTAAATTTGAATGTAAGCTGACTGCCTGTCTATGTAACTATAGTGAAAACGTTGAAAATAGTTTTCTTTACATTCCAAGAAACATAAAATGCAGTTTCGAATATCAGTTGCAGTGAAAATTATTCATTTGTCCGAAAATACACCATGTTTCAATAAAATTGTTCAAGACATCGGCAATATGAAACGTCTATTTCAACTGAATGAGAAAAGGACTGGAAATAGCACGAATTGAGAAATAAATATGTCTAGGTTATAAGAAATGAAAAAACCCCTACTACAATCAACAAACTGACAAAAAATATGACAGTATAAATATTGATTATTAGATTAAATATTCTCAAGCATATTTCTTTAAAACTAACAATGACACACAAGTAGGGTTGAAGAATTCTTAAAACTTGAGAGTGAGGAGGAAGAGAACAGCTACTGAAGAAGTAAAGTATAAGACATGTGAAAACTTCTACCTACACTCCTGAACAAAGCGGTACAGCTGAAAGAGGAAATAGGACTTTAGTAAAAGAAGCAAGAACATGGAAATAATATAATCAAACATTTTTGAGCAGAAGCTATTAATATCGCGGCGTTTGTGCTGAATAGAGTTGGAAATAGCTCTGAAAAAGGAAAATCACCTTATATGGAATAATTGCGGTAAGAAACTTGACCTAAATATCTTTCGTACATTTAGAAGCATAGTTAAAATACATATTACAAAAGAAAAAAGCAAATGGATTGAAAAAAAAACAGGATTATTTGTTGATTATGGAAATGGAGTTAAAGGGAGTGTACCTTGCAAAGAAAAACAAAGTTGAACTTGTGAGAGATATGATTGTGACGCAGGGACATCATAAGCCTCACAAATGGAGTAGCTGGATC